GCGGGAGCGCTGAACTATGCATAAGGTTTCCTGACATTTTTGTGGGATCGATAGGCCTTAGCAAGGTTGAAGGGACATGCTAATCGGGATTGGTGAGCTCTCATAATACCTCATGTACCGAAAATTCCACAGGACCCCATTGTCCACTGTGACGTGATACTGATATAACTTAGCACTGGATTAGGCTCATAAATAAAATCGCAGAATAGAAATCAAGTGGTCAGAATCAGGTTAGGTAAAGATGGGTAAATGTTCTGTTGTCATATGCTAAACACTTGTATCGATCTAATCAAATTTGTTTTGTCACACTCATACTTTCCTTATACACATTGTTGCTTACATCCCTCACTATGTCATACAAAAAGAAAGACAGATAAAAAAGCATTGATCTTAATCAGCAAAGTCCAATCAAGAAAGCTCCATCTTGTGCTGCGTAGAACCTAAAATGTGGCAAGACCTGGCTTGAGATCCTCTTCAAGGAACACGACCAGGGATTACAAAATAGCAATAGCAGTTGGCACTTATCGATGTAGACCAAGGCTGAGACTGCTTTGGTTAGGAGCAAATTGCACAGCAGAGGTACTCACAAGTCATCTTCAAGCTGCTGAAATGGTAGGGGGCTTCCATGAGATACAGCATCATGCAAAATCTGTTTCTCTATGAAACATTGCTTTTGCTTTGAAAGATTAGCAACAAAGAAGATGCATGACAACATATTGAATTTTGTCTTAAATGAAGAAAACCAGGTGTTGATAACACCTGATTGTGTGAAATGAACTTCCAAAAGTACATCCATATTGGCCAAACAAAATGGATATATCCCAGTTATTACATTTAAACTCCATGGAGCTGAAGATACATAGGCATTGAAAGGACTCCCAGCAACAGGCAAAACAATTGCTATTGACAAGGTGGGAGGGGGGTAGAATAAACATATAGCATACACAGTAGATATCAACAAATATTTATTTTCAACTTTGTAGAGCAAAGTATCATAAAGAGAGTCAAGAATAAATGGTTTCACATTTGTCATACATATATACAATGGAGCTGGGTGCATATCTTATCCTTTTGGAAATAGTGTCAGCATAGAGGTAGTCACAAGAATGAATTGTTTGCATAGAGAGTAAAGTAAGAGTAAAATTTCAATGTTAGGCAGTGCAGTCTTTTATCTTAGACTTGCTTGTGATGCCACTTCTAGTTCTGAAAGTAGTTTGGCCAATACTAGCACAGTCAATACTGAAGCGTTTTTCAAGGGATAGAACTTATTATTAACAACAGCCAAGTAACTATGATAGAAGAAGATGCATCAAGAGATATAGTGAATAAATTCCATGCTAAATCAAATCACACAGAGAGCTCAATATTTTGACTTTTTTGAAATGATCTTTGAACAATTAACTGGCTTTAGCCAATCTGCCTCATTATTAGTACTCAAAACACAATCTTTCTCCTTCATAGCATCATCAAGATTGTGGACACTAATAAAACTATGAAGTGAACTAAGAGCAGCAGAAATTAATTTCTGCCTGTGTGCTAAAACCATATTGTAAACCAACAATTATAAGATTGATGTAGTACAGTGTTTACAGACACCAAATATGCATTCAATCACATTTTGAAGTAAGGAAAGATGGAAAGCTCTTTATAATTTGTTGGCCCAAGTAGAACTGGTGTCAGTATCAATCACATTGAAAATAATATCAACAAAGACCACTCTTTTCCCACTCTTTCAAGTAATAAATGCCATAATGTGTGAACAGCAACACATTACATAGAGAAAACCCTGCATATCCATTTTATCAGTAGTATTTTCCCAAGAAGAACAGTAAAATCAGTCTTTCATGCATTCTGAAAGATACACTCATTAGCTGCACTATTATATCCCAATAACATGACAGATATGGAAACTGCAGATTGAATAGCTGCTATGAAAATTTATTGATATGCAGCATCTCCATCTTTAAAATAAATAGCAATTCACATCAGCTTTCACTGCAAATGCATCCAGAAGTGAGCTATCAAGAGTTCTAAGATATTTCTGAAATGAAGCATTTGCAACAATTACAGGAGGAATCTTGTTTTGATTAGGCAGCTTACCACATTTACCATAGAATCTTTAAAAAAACAGGCCTAGTTACTGCAAGAATTGATAAAAACAGCTCAGAAGTGGAAATAATCAATAGAAGAATTGAAAATGAGATATTGAGATACTATCACCATTGTGCTGAAAGAGTAATGCTTTTTTCTGTCTTTTCTTCTTAGATTCACTGGGTGACTTATTTTTTTAGAAGCAGCCACTGGAGTGCAAGCCATGATAATAGGTCTTGACTCAAGTATAGTGCTACAGCATCTAATATCAATTTGTCTGTCAATCAATGACTCTATGTGACATTTGATGTATGAGATGAGTAAAAGCTACAAGTCATGAGGAGCTATGTGATCACAATACCTAAAAAACAATCACAATTGTTGCTGACTGACTTTCAAGCAAGGAGTAGCCCATTGGATTGCCAGTAACCTGTTTGTTTGGCTTTAATCTATATATCCCTAACCTGCACTAATAATAAGCTCAATTGGGTCTAAAATTAACCTTTATAATATAGCCATGAAATAGTCATGAATAAATGTTAGCAACCAAATCCCCTTCTGAACAAAGTTTGGTAAACTTGCTCCTTGCCATTACATGTGAGTCTAGTTAAAACACCATTTTCACAGGATCGATCAAGGTACTCATACTTCATTCATGTGGATCATGAACCTAAAAAGAACTCACATAGAACAAAGGCTTACATTGCCTAATAGAAGGACCTTTCTAATTTGAGTCCTTCTTCTCCAAGCAAAGTATGGTCTCAAGCTTATTACATTGGGCCCCCACACACCATTACCCATTATTCCCACTACTTTAGTAGTGGGTTTTTGTAGAGTGGCCAATTTGCAGCAACTGGGGTTTTTTTCCCAGAAACTGCCAAGATGAAACTGTCTCTCCTTGAAGCCCCTTTATTTTGTGGTTTTCAATGCCAAAAGGAGGGTCCTGCACCCTGTCTGAGTGCTTGTTTTTATCTTTATTTCAATGTCTCTCTTTGTATTTGCTCTATATGGCAGAGAGATTCATATTGGCTGAAATACACCCTCATCCTTGAGCCCTATTACTATGCATCCCCTCTTATAAAAGAGGTTCACCGAGATGTCTGAGTTTCAAGTGTTCATTTATACAACCTATCTCACTGCCCCTCTCTACATATACCCTATGTCACTCTTCCTATTCTCTAGCTGCCCTATGTGTGTCAACCTGTCTGAGTGTTTGTTCTATCTATACCTGTCTCATCATTTTTTCTTTTACTCGCTCAGCCAAAACACACCCTCATATTTGAGCCCCATTACAATGCATCTCCTCTCGTATGAAAAGAGGTTCACCGATACATCTGAGTTTTGAGTGTTCATTTATATATACCTATTTCACCACTCCTCTCTGCATATATACTCTATGTCACTCTTCCCATTACCTAGCTGCTTTGTGTGTGTCAACAGTGATCCTGCATGTTTTGATGTCGACCCTGTTTCACTATTTGATGAAAATCTCACCGTTTGGTTGGAGGGTTGTTGTTTCTGCTACATGCATCCATATTTGTTCAACAGTCAGAGCAGTTTGCTAAGATCTGGCAGAACGCCCACAGCATTCTAATGGCAAGTATACATTATACCTTCATGAAGAGGATTCCGTTGATTTTGCCATGCTGTTCTCTGCTATGTATGAAATGGAAGCATATGTCCCAATCAATTTGGAAAATATTTAAACTGACTTTTTCAGTACGTTGTACAGCTGCATTTCTCTTGCTATGGATGTTGTTGATTCCCTGCTTCACCTCAGTGATCACTTTGGCATTACTTTGATCTATTCTCATCTGATCTCTCATGTTTGCAGAAATTACCCATCCACTCTCAGAGAATTTGATGAAGCATGCACCTCACCCTCTTTATGTTGCAGAATAGACCTGGGTCAGAATTCGATCTGCTAAACACATGCAAGTTGTTTGGTCTGCAATCATGTGGTCTGTGTATCCTCCTTTGGATTTGCATGCAATACTTGGGCACAAGTTGTTTGATTGGTACCAACTGAATTCCTAATTTGTCATTCAGAATGACGTTTAGTTTTATTCATTCAGACAGCACTGTTGCATGCTCTGGCTCCATCACTGTTGTTTGCATCTGTGTTGGTAAACATTGGGTATGGTTGTTTGCAGAGACTCCTAGAGGCCTTGCTCTGACACTTCTTGTTGTGTACTTGTGCGTGATAGTCTTCGTTCAACATACTTTGGATTTGGCCAGTGTAATGGTCATATGTCATTCATGCCATTTACACTGTGGAGTTCAACTTTGGCTCATCATTTCTGTGCAGCATGTGTGGGAAATATACAAGCCCTTCACATTGACAATTGTTCACATTTTTGGCAGGTCATGCCAATGTATTTTGGTTTAGCGAGCTGGCCGATGCTAAAAGCATCTGAATACAAGGTAAATATACTTAACAGTGTGACACAGAATACTGTCAAGATGGATTGCCACAATGGACTCAACATGTTTGCAATGAGGAACCTGCTTGCCCAGCAACAAAACAGCACATAGATGACGTATCTGGGTTCCATGTGTTTATACATGTCTGACACAGCACAAACATTCAATGTTGGGCACATGTTGGGTGAGAGGGTATAATGGTGTTTGTCATTGAATTGAAAATCTTTTGGTATTCTCCACATCTCTTGTGAGCAGGTGATACGTATTTAGGCTATTGAAATTTTCCACATATCTCATGAACGGGTGTTGCAAATTATGAAAGTAGCAGGCTGTGCGGTCGAAGATTGCCTTATGGGATTTTTTATATTAGTATCTCAGAGAATAATCATGATAAATAATACTCAACAAGCATTTTTGGCATGGCATCTTGCTGACTCAGATGGTGAGCCTTTGTCAGATGTGCATATACTCTGCTACATCATATTGCCCGCTTAGCTCAGTGGCAGAGCGCGCCACTCGTAACACCGCTTTGTGGAGTGTGATGGTGAGGTCAATCGTTCAATCCGGTTAGTGGGCATATTTTTACTTCAATACTTTTATGCCCTGAGACACCTTGCATATTGATATTACATGCCGTTCGAATACAACGATACACTGTTATAAACAATCTTACGTTTACACCTACGAAATAAAGACCTTTCTAAGTGCAGACAGCTCGCAAGTCATTCCAGATCGGGGACAGGTAACTACGCCACAGTTCTTGGCTCCCATCTCTTCAAGGGCCTGGAGTGTGTTAGTTGGTATCAAGAGACATTGAAGGATGAGACACTTAATCATACACTTTTGGAATATACATATCCGTTTGGAAAAACCATCGGTGGGTTATCTTCATCCATGATCTTACCACTTATGCGACAGACAATTGTAGAGTTCGCGTGATGGCTAAAAGGAACTTCCTGAGCGAGTTGGCCCAACCCAAGTCCTTGTGTTCCAGAGCCCGCCTCGCCGTCGCAAACGGGACAATCCACATTTTTGGTGGATGGATCAAAGCAAGATGGTAATTTCAATGACGCCAGACCAGCGTACAAACCGAGGTGAAGTAGGGGCTCCGTGGGGAGAGTATTGAGAGAGTAAATTGCTGTGCGGAAAGTGTGAATGAGGTTATGCCACCGAGAAGGATCGTAAAGACGCTGTGATGACAGTATCAACATCTGATGCTGTGACGGAGAGATGTGCACACATACTTTGTATGGCATACAAGAGGTGTTGGGAGGAAATGCTAGGAGTGCGGAGGCTGTGCGTATCTGTTGTAGGTGCGTTTCGTGCCAAGCTGCTAGATGTTTCTGTGCATATGCTATCGCTTCTTCGGATTTCCTAGCTCTCGATAGCTCTATGAATTCCTGTAGTCGAAGGTCGAATTCGAGCGGGCTCTGTGACGTACACACAATTCAATGTACTCAGGAAAAGGCATTTTATCAATCGCACCTTTAACTTTCGAAGCGCAACCTTGTTCTCGTTACACCATACCAAAGCTTCTGTACAGCTATGTCTCAACAGTGCAGTCTCAATTCGGCGGATGTCCATAAAGAGGTCGATGTCTACGAGAGTCTAAGGTGACAGAAGTGTGGCCGCATGATACATGCGCTTGAAGTGCAAAATCCAGAATATTGACATACCTCGATGGTTTTATCCTCTGCAATCCTTCTAGCAGTCTTCTCCATTCCTGACCGAAGGCACCAGTCGACCAACCATCGATCCAATCTTGTGTCGGCCCATCTTCCATAGTCAAGTCCCCCCGTAACAGCTGTAGTTTCGATCACCGTGAGATGATGCATACGCTCTCGCATAACGTCTTGCGTTGGCTTTCCCGCTGTTACTTGAAGATCCAAAAGCTGTCCACCGAGACATAATCAGACGTCAGCTTCGATTCGATAGTGCGTACAAACCTTGCGTTTCAGGCTTTCCACTCTTCCAATCATGTTATCAATAGAGATCAAAACTTCGTTTTTACCCAATGTTCCTTGCGCTCCGCGTTGCACAAGCTCTGCGGAGTTGCTTTGAACAAACCCTAGATCCCTTTCAATGTTCTTCTGAGAAGTACGAAAAACCTTTCGGTAGTTTTCATAAGGAACCTAGTGATAGGCAATTGAGCGGCATACGCCATCTCTACTACTGTATCTCGTAGACGTACGCGAGAAAATGGCTGCTCGAAGAGCAGGACTCCTTCAACATTCAATTTAGTGTTCATGCCGAACCGGAATAGAAGGGAGTGAAAAACAAGGTAGTTTGCAGAAAGAGCCTCTTAAGATGACAGTGAGACCTCTGCAGTGACTAGAGTTTGTCGAGAAAGCTCGTCTTGTCCCCTATAAACTCGAGTCTAGTGCTGTCAGCCTGATCATTTGATCACGTGTCACGGCAATTAATGTCCCCGCCAACTTATAACAAACTCATACCGGACACGAATACCCATCGGCCTTCCTTTTGACTTTCTCGTCTTCTATTGACTCATTTTTCCTATGGTAACTGTGGCTCGCCATTGTGATCTGACAAAGAAGCCCTACATTCCGGGGAAGTCACGGAAATTATCCCCAACGGTGACCTGGGAAGAACTTCCAGCCTGGCAAAAAGATAACGAATACATTCTGACGGGATACAGGCGGCAAGAGAATGATCCCACTAGTTTACCGATTCTATATTAAGCTTTATGCAGGGCCCAGTATTCTTGGTCTGGATGCCTTAGATCGGTATATGCATGTTGGTCCTTTGTTTTTCCCTTCTAACATAGATATTTAATCCCTTGGTCAAAAGATTTACACAACGAAACGAGTCGGTACCTCAATTCTGTCGTGGTTTTCTAGCTCGCCTGACTTTCTATAGTTAATATCCACAGTCATCTCTGGGGCGCTCTACTATTTATTTACCTCTTACTGGATTTCAATACCCACGCTCTCCCTGGATCGACTTTGTTAGATATGGCTGTATTCTCTGCCTTCTTGAGCTCCGCCGTGTTTTGTTTGTCAGCGAGTGCCTTCTACCACACCGTTACTTGTCATTCAAAGGAGGTGCGCCAAATCCATTGAATTCAAAAACTGGACGCGTCTGGGTTGAAAATTTCACGTTTGCTCGCAGGTCTCCTCCTCATGTAATGCATTTGATTATTCTGGAATAGTCATCCTGACAGTCGGATCGTTTTACCCTTCTCTCTATTATGGGTTTCACTGCGAGTCGTTCCTTCTACTGTTTTACATGCTATCCATTACAGTGATTGGTTTTGGTAGGATAGTCAAGACATGTCTAGTTCTGATCATGCTCGCTCACGTCGCCCGTACACAGGTGCTGCATATATAGTTCTTCACCCTGATTATTCCAAGCCCACACATCGGGGAGCTCGAACAGCCGTTTTCGTGGGCTTGGGGGTGTCCGCGGTCGTTCCAGTGACCCATTTGCTTGTAACTCACGGGTCCGTTCGACTGTTCGTTGACATGGGTTTTGGATGGCTACTGGCTTCAGGCTGCCTTTACGTCATCGGCGCGTTGCTATAGTATGTTCGCTTGTTCTCACCTCGTTGCATCCTTCATCCATCACTTCCCTCTTATTCTATTAAGAATGGATCTAACCACCTTAACCTTTTCACAGTGCGAATCGCATTCCAGAGCGTTTGTCTCCCGGTCGATTCGACTATTTTTTTGCGTCGCATCAAATTTTCCATTTTTTGGTTGTTCTGGCGGCATTAGCACACTATAATGGGGCTTTAAAAGCCTTTAGTTATCGGGTGTCAGCGTCTTCCCTTTGTTAATTGGCCGTGGACTGTTGCAGCGACTCCCCTTGTCACGACGCGGAGCTCAGGAATCGCCCGCTGAGGACGTATGAAGAAGTGTCGTCCTGTCGAAATGATGTGTTACTCAATCCTCGACGTACTTGTTCCTAATCAGATGCACAGCACAACAGGACATCTGGGAATCACGGCTCTTAATATGTTTCCTAGCTAAGAACTTTCAATAGAAACAGGACCTACATGATCTTCATTTTCCCTGTTATGTGGATCCTCAATCTACTGAGAAGTATTTTACAAAGGGCCGATCCATCGTGGGATCCCTGTGACCGTTTATGATGATGCATGCGGTGAACTTCAGGTTGAAACATTACTTCGTGACATCTAGCCCAATGTCAGGACCAGCACAGCTCTCCAGTGACAAAGTTATCACCGCGTCGCGGACCATGAGAAATAAAAATTGATGGAAGCCGAGATGCCGAACTCAAGGTGTACGCTCTAGGGTCTATCTCGAAAAAGATGTCCATGATCACGACAAGCGCGAATCCTAACTGCCGTCAAGAAGAATGGTAATGATGGGATTACAGCCGATCCGTCGTCATCAGAACCCCAGTTTCCACGAACCGCTCAACAGTAATAATATCGGGCAGAATCGGTGGTCTCCGCTGTTGATTGAAACAGAATATGCTCTGTTTTGGCGGGTGCAATAAGAGGGATGGTTTTCCACGTGTGATCGAGCTTCCAGCAGATTGGATTCCTCCGTCACGGCAATACCTTTTCGGTGCCGGTCCTACCTCTCAATTGGATCGCCCTCGAGCTGCCACAGCCCAGATCTGAGGAAACGTTGCGGACCCTTATGTCCCGATCTCTTCAGCTTCCGCTTTGGTTACAATGAAAAATGGATTTTATTCCCCGACTCATGGACAAATCTAGATTCAGATTTTCGCGGCTGCGAGCTCTGCGGGCAGGCTGTACTGGTACGAACTATAAAGCCGCGTTTTGTCTGTCCAATAATCATCGTATCCACTACGAACGACCCTTTCCCTCTTTGGTTCGAGTACGCTCCCTCTGTTCTCCTGAATTGCTCTCTACTCCATGCCCTATTCTATTGGCCTCCAAGCCGCTGCTAATGCCTTCCTCTCCGCGGCCTTCGCCATCCAATTCACCCTTGGTGTCGTAATCTTCCTCCTCATAATCCTCATTACCTCCACACTCCAGGCCGACGAGGCTGACGCACCTCCATCGCTGCCTTGTCTCTCGATCTTTGCTATATTACCATTCTTTCGGCGACGTTATGACTTCCTGACCTGGGGCTTCCAGGCAACAGGACATTCTGCTTTTCAGTTCCAGCTCTTACGCGTACGTGTCCATCTATTGTAATGATGGGAACATTCACCATCTGAATGCTCGCATAGAACACCGTGATAGTTGTGTCAGGTGAAAGTGCGCGTCAAGCGTTCTTTACCGCAAAAGGCCTTGACCTAACAGAAGGCTTCAAAATACTATCGGGAGCAGTGGGCCAAGTCTATAGTCTGATGTTATCATCGCCTTAAACTTTGTCCAGATTCCAATGGTCCGAGGAGTAACTTCGAATCTGCAGCCCCAACGTATCGCCATGATACACAAGCGCCTGGGACAAGTTCAACACTCAGCGTCTCTGAATGACTGTGCGTTATTTTCTTTCCTTGTGCCATCCGTCCGTAGCGCCTGGGACAAGTTCAACACTCAGCGTCTCTGAATGACTGTGCGTTATTTTCTTTCCTTGTGCCATCCGTCCGTTACTAATACTTCTTGTTGCTAAATGA